ATTCGGAAAATCTCAGAATCGATGCGGAATCATTTCTCGATTCATGATGCATCTATTTATTTTCCCAGCCCTAATAAAAACAAAAGCTGCTAAAGTGTGATTTATCATGCACTTTTTGTTTGCCAGTAGCGCATGCTGATGACGTTTTATTCTATAGTAACGTGCGTCGTAGCTTACGAGTCAATAGGTGTCATCATCGTACAGTCTACACGCATGTCGTTATTAGATCCATATCGCACAGTGTGACATGCAATGCTCTTATGGGATTGCTAAAATCGCGCAGTGTGTCTTGGGCTTAAATTGGTGGTCATGTGCATATTGCAAAATCTTGAGTAGTGACAACTGCATACACTCTCAGAAAAAGGTACAAAAGCTGTCTCTGGGGTTTTACCTTTTGAAAAAGTTCATCTTTGTACCTTATTTACACCTAAAGTGTACATATACAGTAAGTACATTAAAGGTACATATTAATACCTAAATGGTACATTTTTGTGCCTTTTAAAAGGTACTGCCCCAGTGACAGCTTTTGTGCCGTTTTTATCTAAATTTGTAGTTTCCAACTGGTATTAGTGTTCTGATCGTGAAAAAAACAATGGTAAATGCAAACAATGAACTATAACCAACTATAAAACCATGTGTAGATGGGATAGCAAAATAAATTCACTTAAATGCTTTTAAAAAGGAGAAAAAAATCATTGTTGACATCAAAGGCCTCACATTCCAGGCAAATTTTGTAGACTTTGGATGCAAATTAATTTGTCAGTTGGTAGAAGTGGGAAATTAGACATATGTCAACATGGACAGGTTGTGTGACGTCCTCATCCTCAAAATCTTAAATAAAACTGCACAAATTACTACTACTACTACTAATAATAATAATAAAAGTTATTGTTTTATAAAAATAAAATATGTAAAATATTTTAATATTTTAATAATAATATATTACTTTGTATTTTAATAAATTATATATATATATATTATAATTTTAATATAATATACATTTATTAATTTATAATATAATAATTATCTATTAAATTATTATTTATTATTCTTTTTTTTAGGTTTATTTAGGTTATAGCTGATATTATAAATCTATAATACTTACAAAAAAGTGCATTTAGGTGTATTGTGTACTAAGTACTGTGCACCTACCTGAATCTGTGCACACTACATTTAAAATTACTTTGAACTTTTCAAATATATGCGTTTTTTTTTTACTTTCTGTTCATCAAAGTGTTCTACAAAAATATGAAGCAGCACAACTGTTTTCAACATGGCTAACAATAAGAAATGTATCTTGAGCAGCATATTAGAATGATTTCTGGAGTAATGATGCTGAAAATTCAGCTTTGCATCACAGGAATAAATTACATTTTACAATATATCCAAATATTTTAAATTGTAATAATATTTTTTACAATATTATTTTTTTCACTGCATTTTTTGGTCAAATAATTGCAGCCCTGGTGAGCAGAAGAGCCTGTAAAACAGTATAAGCTCTTACCGACCCCAGACTTTTAAACAGTAGTGTACAGTATGTGGCCGTTACATTGCTGGAATTTGTTTTAGCTTCTATTTTTTTTTATATCCGATGTCATCTTTGTGCAGATATGTGTACTGGACTGACTGGGGAGACAAAGCCTTCATTGGACGTGTCGGGATGGATGGGAATAACAAGTCGGCCATCATCATTACTAAGATCGAGTGGCCCAACGGTCTCACTATTGACTATACCAATGACAAGCTGTACTGGTCTGATGCTCACCTCAACTACATCGAGTAAGACTACCTCACCTTTATATCCTGTCATCCAGAGCACAAGATTTAATTACTGCTAATTTATCTAATTAAATATGATATGTCATAAATGATTATGAATTGAATTAATCACAAATGATCAATATTTGCTGACAAATCCCACAAATGAAGATTTGGTCGTGCATCATTCAAACGGTTTTTCAACATTGTTTTTACCATTTTTAAGATGCTGTGTCTTGACTAATTATGCATTATTTTTTGCACAAAATGAACATGTTAAACATTATTAAGATGGTTCTGTCTCCTCAGATTCTCTGATCTGGACGGGAATCACAGGCACACGGTGTACGACGGTATCTTGCCGCATCCTTTCGCCATCACGGTGTTCGAGGAAAGCGTGTACTGGACGGACTGGAACACGCGCACGGTGGAGAAGGGCAACAAATACAATGGCTCTGGACGGGAAGCGCTCGTCAACACCACCCACCGACCGTTCGACATCCACGTGTGCCATCCCTACCGCCAGCCCATAGGTGAGCCCAGGACAGCGTAACCCGAGCGGGACGCTCATTATCTCACGTCAGATGGCTATCACTTCCTTTAAACGTCCACTGAGGCACTTAAGGGTCTCTGCCAATATTTACACAGTCTGTCCTTTCTCGGACACAGGAAAGACTAAACTCTTTATCATTGCTGTAATGGACAGGACAGGTAGTTGAAACTCTTTATCTGTGGCTTTCTTTAGAAAGAGGAGCTACAGCTACATGTTGTGGAGCCACATCCTGGTTCTTTGTAAGAGGTTATAGTCTGACTCAGTGGTTTTCAACTGACTACACAATTTACTCTGAGCAACAAGAACGACTCAATTCAATACTGCACGTTTATCGTATCAAAGTAAATAAAGCTGTCCTAAATGTAATGTATGAATTTTATTCAATATTTGAAATCAAATAAATATTAATTTATCATTTTCTCAATATTTTTCTCTATTATTTGCAAAAACGTTAAATGGTCTTAGATTTTAACATTGAAATCTGAAATTAAAAACTAAATCTGTATGAAGTTAGAATAAATATTAATTTATAATATTCTTACACTTATTCCTATTATTATATGCTTACTTATTTTTTGCATTTATTTTTGTATTTTTGTATTTATGCATTTATTTATTATTCTTATGTTTTTGTTTTTGATTATAAGAACAATTTACTAAAGATTGCCCCTATTATTCATTCATAAGTGTTGAATAATAAGAGGTAATCATAAGAGAAATCGGAATTTATAATATAATAATTGTTATTATTATTTTAATTTCAAAGACTGAATACATTTTAAACATTAAATAAACTTCAGTGTTTGATTTTAAGGGCATTTTATTTACTTTTGTACAAATAATAGAGAATAATCATAAGATTATAAAAATATTAAATACTATTTATTTTAATTGCTAATTCTGGATGCATCCCAAACATTGAACTTTTCCTTCAAACACTGAAATATTTCCAATGTTTAAAATTGAAATTAATATTAGGTTATTCTTTTATATTATTTTCTATTAATATCATAAATAATTCAATAAAATGTCCTTAAAACCAAACAGTGGAATTTAATGTGCAAAATAAAAATTAATTTATAATATTCTTAGAATTATTATTATGATTATATGTTTAGTTATTTATTATTTAAAATTATTTTAGCATTTATTTATTATTCTTATGTTTTATACTTATACTAATAATAGGCAATAATTGAAAAATAAATTTTGAAGTTAGATTTTAGAGACTTTTTAAATTACTTTTAAATTACCTTATTTTAAATGTACTTTTATAAGAGTAATATAGAACAGCCTTACAATTACATATAAATATACTTGAATTTTTTATTGCAAACAATAAAAGAATTCCCTAGAAATGTATTCAGTGTTTGAATTAAAATAAATATTCAAAATATTCTTAGTCATCTATTACTTTTTAAGTTTATAGTTATGATATGATTATGATTAGTTGCATTTCATTATTTGCATTTATGTGTCCATAATTCAGGACAGATTCAGAACAGACCTGAAACTTTTTTGTTTGTTTGTTTGTGACTCACTAGCAGAGTCTCACTCACACTATATCTTGCTCCTGTAGTGACGAATCCCTGCGCGGTCAATAACGGAGGCTGTTCTCACCTGTGTCTTCTGCGAGCCGGAGGTCAGGGTTTCACCTGCGAGTGTCCTGATCACTTCCTTACCGTGCAGATAGGGGGCGTCGCACGCTGCCTGCCCATGTGCTCCAGCACACAGTACAGATGTGCAGACAATATACGGTTAGTGTCTGCATGCACACTCTGTTCCAAAGCCTGCTGTATATTTTTGGGGAAGTCGTGGCCTAATGGTTAGAGAGTCGGACTCGTAACCCAAAGGTTACAAAGCCTACTACCTACATAGACAGCTGCCTTATGAGCAAGCATCCTAACTGAAACTGAACCTTGTATTTGTCTGTTCCTAAAGCTGTATCCCTATCTGGTGGAAGTGTGACGGTCAGCGGGACTGCAGAGACGGGTCGGATGAACCCTCCACGTGTCCCGTCCGGCACTGCAGACTGGGCCAGTTCCAGTGTAATGACGGAAACTGCTCCAGCCCACACTTCCTGTGTAACTCTAATCAGGACTGTCCCGATGGGTCTGACGAGGACACTGTGCTCTGTGGTATGGAAAAAAACGATCATATATCATGTCAGTATCTGCAGGTTTGCTGCAATCTGGGCATGAAGCTGAAAAGTTGTAGGTTTGAACCCCATAATAAAATGTTGTTATAAACAGCAGTATTTACAGTACATGCATTTTTGCCAAAACTAGACTTTCATGATCAATTTTCAGTGATGATGCCAGTGTTATTTATGTACTATTAACGTATTTTGAAGTTTTTGTATTTTCAGTTTTCATTTTAATTTTAGTTTAAGAAAATGTGCTTTTGTCTTTTTTTAAAACCTGCCTGCTTAAGCTTTAATTTATTTTTAGCTGTATTTTTTGTACTGAGGCAACATTTCTGATTTCCATTTAAGTTTTTCAAGTTAAAATTTTATATGGTAATATTTATATCTTATTTAATATTTATATTTTAATTCAAACATTTCATATTTCATTAAAAACTGAGATGTTTTAAATCATTTGTATACCATTATATTGTTTATTAATTTTTTTAAGTAACTTTTTAGTGTTCATTTTAAATTTTAGTGATTTTTTATTGTTTTAATATTTCTATATAGCTTTCATTTTAATACTTGAACTTAAACATATTTAGTTTCTCATTTTTCGTTTTAGTTTTCCCGTGTAATATTTATATATTTATTTAATTTCTAACATTTAATATTTATTTAAAAATCAAACACTGATTTTGAAAAAAAAACAATTTTTAGTTTTACTTAATTTTCGTTAACAATAACAACAGTGCTATTCTGCAAGTACACTTTAGATAGTATTATAGTTTTTATTCATATTTTTAATCACTTATTTTTATATTTTCCATTTTATTTTCGTTTACGTTTTGGTGCTTTGGTTGTGTTTTTGTCTTTTGTAGTAGTTTTTGTTTTTTTTATATGTCTGTATAGTTTTTATTCATTTGTATTTCTGTTTTAGTTATTTTAGCAAATCAGGTTAAATAAATTAAAATGTTGCCTCGGCAACTAGCTGAAATAAAAAAGTCTGTTATTTTATTTCAGTTAACGTTTATTTTATTTTAAGTGACATGTTTTTTAATGGTTTTATTTTAGTTTTAGTTTTAGTTAACTATAATAACCCTGCTATTCTGATATCTGCTTTTGATTAAACTGTTGCCATGTATTCAGAAATGCATCTTCCTCTCCTTCTGCACTCCAGCCACGCATCAGTGTGAGTCTCATCAGTGGCAGTGTGCCAATAAGCGCTGCATCTCTGAGGCCTGGCAGTGCGACGGGGAGAACGACTGCGGCGACGGATCCGACGAGGATCCCGCTCACTGCTCCAGCAGGACCTGCAGACCCGGACACTTCAAGTGCAGGAACGGCCGCTGCATCCCGCAGAGCTGGAAGTGTGACGTGGACGATGACTGTGGCGACAACTCCGACGAGCCCATCGACGAATGCAGTGAGCTGCCCACTCATAACTGCACCGCTACAATGCATTTGTTTTGTTATTTGATTAGTTTAAATTAGAGGAAGAAAAAGCCATGCAGTATGTCATCTGTGGGATGTTGTTTGCAGTGGGTCCGGCGTACAGATGTGACAATCACACAGAGTTTGACTGCAGGACAAACTACCGCTGTGTTCCTCTGTGGGCCGTGTGCAACGGACACAACGACTGCAGGGACAACAGCGACGAACAAAACTGTGGTGAGACATCAGACGACACACGACTGAAAACATGACTACAAATGCATGGGTCAAAGACATTAAGATGTCCTCATCAAAAGAAATGTACAAAAGTGATTTTATGTCCATAGAAAGCACATTACATGTAAGTAAAGTGTCTACTTTTAAGGTTTCAAATAAGTTTTTGGAGAATAAAATGTCAAAATTTGGTTGAAATAATGTTATATTTTTTTTTTTTTTTTTGCTCAGAGAAACCAAAACAAAATTGCAATTAAATTAAACAGAATTTTAAACAAATTTTTGGGAAAACAACAACAATTTAAAGCAGTATTACACGTATTGTTTTTATGCTTAAACCCTTTTTCGTCTTTGACCCGCATATATTTATGTACATAAAAATGTATATAATTTAATTAATGAAAGAGTACAATATAGTAAAAGTAGTAATATTAAAATTATTAAAAAATAAAATGTAAAATTACTATGAAAAAGTATTGAAAATGTATTACATGACTGAAAACAATATTCTTGCTCTACAACTGAAAAATGTAGATATTTTTAATTAATAAAATAGTAAAGTAATAGCAGAAGTATTAGAATGATGAAAATTTAAATCACTATACAAAAATGACTCAGTGTGATCATTTTTATTCAGAAACAGATATTAAATATTAATTGTAGATATTTAAATTATTTGAATCTAATTTGATCTAGCTTTCTAATAAACCTGGCATTGTATATTTTGAATATTGCTGGCTCTGAGATGAATTGCTTTGGATAGAAGCTTGTGCTAAATGTGTAAATGTAAATATAAATTTAACATTTTTTAGAATTATTTACAGCATTATTCAAAACTTGACTCAGCGTAACTGTTTTTATTCACACGGCAATGCGTACATCACAAAAATGTAGATATTCATTAAAAATAGTAAAGTAATATTAGAATTAATAATACTAAATAAAAATAAATTCAAAAATACAAATTGTTAGAAGAAAATATTAATAAAAAAAGGGTAAATCAGTATAGTGATCCATTTGTTGAAAATAGGCTGCAAAAATCCTTTTAGTTTTTTGTATATTAACATAAAAAACATGTTTTAAAAATTGTAAAATTTGCTTTTTTAGCAGGTTATTGTCCTTGTTTATTAAGAATTAAATATATGCGATCATCACCTTTTAAAATGCAATCAACAACCGATAGAATCAAGTCCCATGCTACATTTTTTTTTCTTGTTCGATAAGGGTTTCACTCAAAAAAATGCCACAAAACTGGACGGAGTTTCCATTTCATGCTGACTTAAACAAAAATGACTAAAATTTACTACCACCTTTAAATTTCAGTCAAATTCAGTAAGACGAGTCTGTATTGCTCCCATTATCACTGATGTTGTATAAAGCTTGTTGTGTGTGTGTGTGTGTGTGTGTGTGTGTGTGTGTGTGTGTGTTTTTGAACTTTTTTTGGTCTGAAAAAATCTCCCAAAAACCTCCCTTTGGGGACGTCCTCATTTGTGTTTATAATTTTTTTTATTGTAAAAATGCAGAAGTTAAATCTATAACTATCTGTATATAAAAACAATATAATTCTATTTAATGTCCCCATGTAGATAGCTAAGTAAACGTGTGTGTGTGTGTGTGTGTGTGTGTGTGTGTGTGTGTGTGTGTGTGTTTGAAATCATTTTGGAGTTATTCGTCCTCTCACACTCCAGCGCTACATTAGTGAGTGTTATTTCAGTCTGTCTGTGATGGACGGGCCCTCGGTGACCCCTCCTCCTGTCTGGGGCCACACCACTGATTTATGTGTGTGTTAGGCACCAGTGTGTGTGTGTGCAGTTGTGATTATTGTTACTGGTCTGAATGGTCAGTAATCTGACCGATATACAGTAAACACACACACACACACACACACACACACACACACACACACACACGCCCCGTTTCTCCTGGGTCTTATCAGCTCCCGCTCGCTCCATTAGTGCCATGCTGCACAGAGAGGAGAGATCGCCCTAATCTGACTGTAAGACTGAGACAGAGGTCTGTGTGCCTGAGCAAAATGTTTCTGCCTCTTCACTTCCGCTCTGTTTAACGTTAGCTTGTGTGTGTCTGTGTTGTGTTCGCAGAGGAGTTGACCTGTGAGCCGGCGGGTGATTTCCGCTGTGATAACCACCAGTGCATCCCCCTGCGCTGGCGCTGCGATGGAGACAATGACTGCGGCGACGGATCTGACGAACGCAACTGCAGTAAGTAACAGCAATGACCTCTTGGCTTCAGTCAGTTCAATATAAAACCGCAACAAACCAGAGAGATAGTTAAGTAATAGTCATTATTTACTCGCCTTTGTGTGGTTCAATAGAATACAATTTTGAATGAAAGTGAATGAGGACTGGGGCTGTCAAGCTGCAGAAATGCAAATAAACTCCAAATAAATATCATAAATGGTCCATTTAACTCTCATGTAGCTCTTAAATCAAATATGGTGCCTTTAATGCTTGTGACATGTATGAACCAATGATACATACAGGGCAAGATATTCTGTGAATATCGACTTAATGGGATAGTTCACCCAAAAATGAAAATTCTGTCATAATTAACTCACCCTCAAGTTGTTCCAAACCTGTATGCATGTCTTTCTTCTGCTGAACACAAAAGAATATATTTGGAAGAATGTGGGTAGCCAAACAGTTTCTGGTCTCCATTGACTTTTTCATAGTATTTTTTCCATAGTAAGTAAGTCAGTGGGGTCCAGCAACTATTTGGTTACCAGCACACTTCAAAATATCTTCTTTTATGTTCAACAGAAGAAAGAAACTCATACAGGTCATTTTTGGGTGATCCATTTCTTTAAATTTTGATTTACTCATTACATAAAGCTATTGTATGGCTTCTGAAGACTTGGAATACAATATGTGAACCTGGATCAAAAAAACAGTCATAAGTAGCACAGGTATATTTGTAGCAATATCCAAAAATACATTGTATGGGTCAAAATTATTGATTTTTCTTTTATGCCATCATAAGTAGCACAGGTATATTTGTAGCAATATCCAAAAATACATTGTATGGGTCAAAATGATCGATTTTTCTTTTATGCCAAAAATCATTAGAATATTAAATAAAGATCATGTTCCATGACGATATTTTGTAAATTTCCTACTTTCCATATAAATATATCAAAACTTAACTTTTGATTAGTAATATGCATTGCTAAGGATTTAATTTGGACAACTTTAAAGGCGATTTTCTCAATATTTTGATTTATTTTTTTACTTTTTATTTTTTTTTTGCACCCTCAGGTTCAGGATTTTCAAATTGTATCTCGGCCAAATATTGTCCTATCCTAAAAGCTTATTTATTCAGCTTTCAGATTATGTATAAATCTCAATTTTAAACTGGTTTTGTGGTCCAGTGTCACATATATAAACCTAAAAAAACTACTTTTATTTTGCTTTTTTGTCATGTTGGCGCTTGAAAAAGAATGGCTCGGTTATCCTTTAACATTTCATTTTCTCTGTGTTTAAAATGACATGAGGGTGAATACATTATTGCTGGATGAACTGTTCCCTTAATAAGAGAGAAAGACGCCTGTAAATTTGCTTTACCAGAGAAACAGTAAAGACAAAGATGAAGAGATTGAGAGGAACAGATTGGATAGACAGAGAGCATGGAGGAGATAACGTGATGGCAGACAAGGTGCTGTGAGGTGTGAAAGGTTGACAAATGGTCTGCGCTAAACCTTTGAGCTGCATTTTGAAAGAAGCGCTGATTTCTTCAGCACTTTTCTCCTCCCTGCAGAAGAGCTGTAGGGGTGGTGAGCGCGGGTCACTCCCCTGATGAGTTCAGCTATGAACTCACCTCCCAAAAATGGCCCTGAAGAGCAAGCTGTATCTCATCACATAAACCTTTAGTCCTGTGACACAGTGAAGCGCAGACTAATCACTGCCCTCATTTGTGTCTTGTGTTCTGCTGAACATTTTCCCACCCTCAGGCCATCCGAGATGTAGATGAGTTTGTTTCTTCATCAGAACAGATTTGGAGAAATGTAGCATTGCATCACTTATTTAGCAATGGATCCTCTGCAGTGAATGGGTGCCGTCAGAATGAGAGTCCAAACAGCTGATAAAAACATCCCAATAATCCACACCAGTCCATCAATTCATGTCTTGTGAAGTGTAAAGCTACATGTTTTTAAGAAACAAACTCATCATTAAGACATTTTTAACTTAAACTATTGCTTCCAGCTAAAATACGAGTTCTCTCTCCTTAGTATTGCTTTCTCCAGTGAAAAAATTGTGCCTGGAGAGATATATGCACTCTTTACAAGTGAAAACAGTCCAAAACCGTTCTAAAGTTAAATGTTGGTGGATTTTGATGTGAGAAGACAACAGGGGATGGGCTTTTACACTGCAGAAGGCATTATTATGGCGTATGGACTTGTATTTTGGACAGAGGCATCAGTTTAAAATTAAAAGGTCTTAATGGATTTGTTCCTTATAAAAATGCACCTTTTCACTTCACAAGATATTAATTGATGTACTGGGGTCATTTGGATTACTTGTGGATTATTGTGATGTTTTTATCAGCTCTCATCCTGACGGCACCCATTCACTGCAGATGATCCATTACTGAGAAAGTAATATAATGCTACATTTCTCTGAATGGCTTGATGGCGAGTACATTTTCAGCAAATTTTCATTGTAGTGTGAACTATTCTTTTAATAACACCCCTCACTTGTGGTAAAATCACTTTGGCACATACCTCTCTTTGAGCTTATTGCTTTATTTGCTTGCCTCCTTAGTATGTATGTTCATGTGTGTCTGATTGACACGCTTCTTATGCATCCGCAGCCCCTCGTCCGTGCACAGAGAGCGAGTACCGCTGTGACAACCTGCACTGCATTCCTGACCGCTGGGTTTGTGACCATGACAACGACTGCGAGGACAATTCTGATGAAAGAGACTGCGGTGAGTGAAAGAAAAGAAGAGACAGCAGAAAGGAAAGACTATCAAAAGAGGGATGGAGAGAGCCGTGGCACTTGCCACCATGTTCAACATCATAATACTGTCTTTTTATTACAGATTGGTCCTCAGTGGGTGATAACTCAATGCAGTTGTGTGCCTGGATACCTTGTGAATGACTAACAAGAAGTGTGCATAATTCATTTTCCATGGCGTATTGAGAGATTGGCTTTATTCATTGTGGATGAATGTGTTTCAGAGCTGCGGACCTGTCACCCGGGTTACTTCCAGTGCGGTACCGGCCACTGCATCTCTGAGCGCTTTAAATGTGACGGCAACGCTGACTGTCTCGACTTCACTGATGAAAGCTCCTGTCGTGAGTGTGCTGCCATGTTTGTTTTTTTTTAACTCTATTTAATTTCTGAAATGCTCCTGAAATGTAACCAGAAGACAGCTGTGCGTTTGTATTGCAGCGCCCTCTAGAGTCCAAAAGGGTTGTGCAACAGTTCCCATCATCATGCAAACATAAGGAATATCAAGGAATTTTACATTTTGATTAAAGACTATGAAGACAAACTTTTTTTTTTTAAATATGCACAGATGAAATGTTCACAATAAGATCAGGATCATTTTGAGCAGCCAGTAGTTGAAACAGCACTAGCAATGCCAAAGTCATGGGTTTGTTTCCAACTGAATGCTTGAATGCAATGTTAGACACCTTCATCATGTATTAAGAAAGTTGACTTTGAGCTGTATGTGTGCATATTTCAGCCACACGCTACCCGAACAGCACCTACTGTCCACCCTTCCTGTTTGAGTGCAAGAACCACGTGTGTGTGCAGCAGCACTGGATATGTGACGGAGATAATGACTGCGGGGATAATTCAGATGAGGAACTGCATCTCTGCTGTGAGAATCTATCTATCTATCTATCTATCTATCTATCGTTCTATCAATCGATCATTCTTTCTATCGTTCTATCATTCTATCGATCGTTCTTTCTATCTATCTATCTATCTATCTATCTATCAATTGTTCTTTCTATCGATCGTTCTTTCTACCGTTCTATCTATTGTTCTGTTTATCTATTTTAAAAGGTTAAACATGATTATTTTGCTCAAAAATCTAACTATTATTGGTGATTATTGTCATTTTATTACTATTTTTTTCTTTACATTTAATTAGAATTATTGCACTTTCACGTAATCACAAATCAAGAGAAAGTTAACTCCAATGTTGCCTAGTCTGTGGTTTTTCTGCAGAATTGGGCTACGTTTACACTGTTGCAGTGGGTTGTTTTTTAGTCCACGGGTTATTAATGATTTCGATGGAGGGGACCCACCGACAGGGGAGAAAACCACCGAAAAGCAGTTAGATTAGCAGTTAGAATGCTTTTGTTACGCAGACCTGGCAACCCTGGTCAAATCGCAGATTTAGTCACAACAAACAGCACAAATGACCACCTGAAAGAAAACAGACTGGCTGTATTACACTTTTACTTGAGTATAATATCTCCATTGAGATTGCTCTAACTTACATGTTTGCCAGTGTTTTCAGCTCATCAGCACGTTTTCAGTAATGAAGAGGGAGTGTGTGCGCGTGGTTGCCATTTTGGGAAGTTTAAAGGGGGCATATGATGCTTTTTTAAAGATCATTATTTGGTGTATTTGGTGTAACAGAATATGTTGACATGCTTGCAAAATCAGGTTGTAACACTCCAAAGAGAAAGGAAAACTTGAAATCGCATCATATGACCCCTTTAAGTAAACCACTGGGCAGAAAATGTATCGATTTAAGAGAAAAGCTCAGATTGGGTGATTTAAACTATTGACATCTGGCAGCTTGTGGAGGCTTGTTACCAATGCAAGATAATGTAAGTGGCATATTAAAATGAAAAGTTTGCAGGATAAATAACCAACAGTTAAATATTGCAGATGATTATGCTTAATAAACTGAAAGAAGGAGAAATCGTGATCCTGATCAAAATGCGGTTTATCGCGCAGCCCGACTATCGGTCTAAACTTTCTTTTTCTAATATAATTTGAATAGTATATCAGTTATATAACGTAATAAAGTAGATGTGGAACAAAGTGCACAACCGTCATGTTTCTTGCCTCCTCAGTGGACATCTCATGTGATCCTCCGTTCCGTTTCCGCTGTGATAACACCCGCTGCATCTACAGTCACGAGCTCTGCGACTCTATAGATGACTGCGGTGATGGAACCGACGAGAGGCCGGAGCATTGTGAGTGACAGCCAATAGATTGTTAACCAAATATACTATTTACCTATTAAACCCTTTTAATTCCCTAAATTCTATTGAAGTTAGTAAAACACCCTGTTTTGTGTGAATGACTCCTCAGGTGTGACTCCCACACATGGGCCCTGCTCTGCAGACGAGTATAAATGTGGGAACGGTCAGTGCATTCCTCTGCAGTACGCCTGCGACGACTACGACGACTGTGAAGACCAGACTGATGAACTCGGCTGCTGTGAGTTTTGCTCATTCACTCACCCTCATGTTGTTTATTTTCTTTCTTGCATAAACAAAAGTGGAGCAAGCTCCAAAAACTACAAAAAAAATCTTAGAGCTCTAGATCCTTTTGCCTGCACATCTTTGTAACATTTCTTCATCTGTCTCTGTTAGACTACGGCCATGGACGCACATGCAGTGAGAATCTGTGTGAGCATAACTGCACAGATTTGTCAACCGGAGGCTTCATTTGTTCCTGTAGACCTGGATATAAACCCAACCCGGAGGACAAGAACAACTGCAATGGTTTGTGGCGTTGTCTGAATACCGTATTCATTAGAAAATCTCAATATTTACTTCTTTATTGGAAGACAGGCTTATAGTGGTGCTACAGAAGCCAAACAGGACAACAGGAACTCAGTCATTTATGACACTTCATTCTACAAAAACAACAGCTCGTTCATTACGCCATTTCTGTCATTGCACATGTGCAGTACTTTCCAGTTTCCGTATTCAATCCGATCAAGAGTTTAGGAGCTCAGTCGGATCGATTAAGGTGTTTACATGAAGCCTTTTCAGTCTGATTGAGCCATCAGTCCAATTACCAGCGGATTATTTGGTTGCATGTCAACGTAGCTAGTGTTGCAAAGTTCATCAGTTATAAAACTAATTCCATTCATCTATAAGCAGCTCAGCAGATACAATAGTATGATTAATTAGCTCAAGTCAGTTCAGTGTTATATTAGTACCACTGAGATAATATTATAGTTTGTATTAATATTTTGAATTAGGTTTATTTTTGCATTTTAATTTTAGTTAAATTTAGTTGTGTGTTTCATTCATTTTATTTCAGTTATTTTTAGTACATCAAGTTAAACTAAATTCTAAATTCTGAGAAATTTTGCCTTGGCAACTAGCTGAAAAAAAAAAGTTTCGTTTTTTTGTGTTTTATTTTATTCCAGTTAACGATTATTTTAATTAAAAAATGTTTGTATGATTTTGTTTTCATTTTAGTTTCACGTAATTATAATAAACCTGGGTTCAATTCAGTTCAGTGACAGTGTTGATGTTGGAAAGTTCCTCAATCACAAAGACAAATTTGATTCAGCTATAAAGCAGCGTTACAGAAAATGATCAGTTCGTTTTTCATTCTGTCCTTGGCATGGAATCTTTTCTGTCTGCGTGAAAGCAACACAAGAAGTGCGCAGCTATGCCTGCACACAACTTCGAGACAACATTGGCACACCATTAGAAGTTGAACTGCTTCCTGTATGTATAATGTGAGGTGTTTTCTGCCCGTCTGCAGATGTGAACGAGTGTGAGATTTACGGGACGTGCCCGCAGCTGTGCAGGAACACTAAGGGCAGTTATGAGTGTTTTTGCGCTGACGGGTTTCGATCAGTGGGAGAGCAGCCGGGAGTCGAATGCGCTGCTGAGGGTAAGGCCTTTCAATCTGAAATTATTTATCCTCTTTTTTTACCTTCTATAGCCTAAAACTTGAAAATTTGACGAACATTGGTAAATATGAACGTACCTTTAGAAGTCATAGATGCAAACTTCTCACCTTTCAGTGACAACTCACTTTTTTGAGATCAAAATGAGGGCGGGGGGGTTCTTGCAAGGGTACTTGTGATCTTACAAGGGTAAATAAAGAACTGGGACTGGTTGCATAAACTGTTTAAACTAGTCTTAAAAAGTTAGTCATCTAGTCAGACTGGTCATAACTTTTTTAAATTTAGTTATGAAAAGGTAGATTGGTCTTATTTGTATTGGAAAAGTAAGACTGATTACTCCTTGGCAACTGCTTGTTGGTCAAACTAGTTCTTAAGACACAGTCTTAACTAGGGCTGGGTATCGAGTTCGATACTTGTTAGGCACCGACCGAATTGCCTCGATACCATCGAGTATCGAAAAACGTCTCGTCGTTCGGTATTTTGATAACTAAGGGGTTAATCTCATCAGCGTCAGTGAGCCAATAAGCCTGCAGCACTAGCCGGTGTGTTCGACTAGAAGAGGTGCAGCGCAGATCGATCATCCGCGAGAGCGATTCGAAAGCGCACTGCTCTCTTTAGCTCTCGTGGTACTGTAATACACCGATCGGTCTGCACAGTCGGTCTGCGTGAAGTCGAACACACCTACTAGTTTACACCGGTTACACTCAGAGATGTGGCGCACACGTGAGGCTGTAGTGCGAATGCGTCCCAGCCCCCTTCCATGTAATGTTGCTGAAATTAAATATGTTATTATTACCTCTGAGTCAGCAGCGATCATGGAAGAGAGAACACAAGCAGACAGTGCTGGAAGCTGCTAATGCTCATCAGTAAATCAGTGGAAAATAAATAGAAATCATGATGCTGTCTGAGCTATGCGTTTTAAACGAACACGCACTAGTGTAAATGTAGGCTAACAGATATGTAAACTGAAGACTATTTGAGCTTTATTAAAACTATTTTGTCTTTGAGTTTGTATAAACATCAACAAGCTGAAAAATAAAACCAAAGTTTTTTTTTTTTAGATAATGTAATCCAGTTCAAATTGATTTCATGAAATTGGTATCGAAAAAAGTATCGTTCAGGAACCGGTATCGAAGTCAAGGTATCGGTATCGATATCGAAAAATTTTGAACGATACCCAGCCCTAGTCTTAACATGGTGGCTATGGAACTGGCCCCTGGTTGATTCAGTAAGTTTTGTATAGTATTTTCTTTAGTCTTTACTTCAAAACCTATGTCTAAAAAGGGTAATATTTTATGTATTTGAGGTCTGAGATGTGGGAACGGTGAAAAGAGGGAGGGCAGACATTTTGCATTTTAAGTCAGCATTGCCGTCTAATCAGCCAATATTGTCTTAAATAGCCTGCATAGCACTTCATCTTTTATAACAAGGGATTCTGACCAAATCTAATCAATCTTGATTTTTGTAAAATGTTGAATCAAGATGGGGAGTTTTTTTGTGAAAAATTACAGTTTTGGACATATAAGGTAATAAAAAATATATATATATATAAAAAAAGTAACTACAAATGAGCTTGTAAAGCAAATATCCATGTGGAGAAATTCCGTGTGGAGCATGCTCCCGATCCACGCAATGTTCTCACCTTTTTTCCCCCTTACCTGTTTGCATCTCTGTAGAAGACAGCTGCATAAGTAGGCAGTAATGCAAGTCTAGGCTTTGACATCACCATTTCTTTCGCTCTCTATCATTTTTTCCCACAGGAAATCCTCCCGTCTTGTTATTGCCTGATAACGTGCGGATCCGTCGCTTTAATCTCTCGTCAGCGCAGTACTCTGATTATGTGGATAATGCAGAGCACATTCAGGCACTGGACTACCTGTGGGATCCAGAAGGCCTCGGCCTAAGTAAGACAATATTCACGGGATATCCCATCTAATATGACATATGCTTAATGTTTTGATGCAGATGCAGCACAGGGAAGCCCAATTTACAGCACAATAAGGCAAAGCCAGCGTTACTTTAGTATTCTTTATATACTATTACAGGATTTCTTTTGAAGAATGTTTTGAAATCCTTACCAAACCAACCTAGGTTTATGAAAACATGATCACCGTTAACACTGTGTTATTGTGTTTCTGTAATCAGGTTATGAATGCACACTGAAACATATTTCTACATCTGATTTTTCAGGTATAGTGTTCTGGACAGTGTTGGGACGAGGCTCTGAGTTTGGTGCGATTAAGAGGGCCTACATGACCACGTTTGATGACCATGGAAATAATCCTGTGAAAGAGGTGGACCTGAACCTCAGATACATCTCCAGTCCTGATGGCATCGCTGTGGACTGGATCGGAGGGTATGTGACATGCTTTTCTATACTTTACTTGAGCTCTGATGCAGACTGTCTAACTGGTTACTGGGACAGTTCCAGAGAAATAAACATCCCTTCTGCTATGCATTTTGTCTTTTCCATTAGCCATATTTACTGGACAGATGCTGGGACTAATAGAATCGAAGTGTCGAAACTGGATGGACGTTACAGAAAGTGGCTGATTCACAGTGATCTTGATCAGCCAGCCGCTATTGTGGTCAATCCTGGTCTAGGGTAAGAATATGAATATGAATGAGAATATGAACGAAACTATATATTTACTATGTAGTAATGAAATTTGTAAAATTTTGATTTTTAGGTCTGGAAAAGTCATGGAAATTAAATAAATTCATCTTATAAAATAGTTGTTTTGGGTTGATATTGCTCATGTATTGAGCTTATGTAGAGATTTATGAGTAAAGAAATTAAAAAGTATTGTTATTTTACTATAAAAACTATTTAATATACCTATTAAACAATAGATTATATATA